TCGAAAGGTTATTCAAGCTCGTGTGAGCGTAACATTATGATTCAAGCGGACATAAAACTTATGGTAAACATATCAAAGTCTTTAGCAGCACATTCCTCTTTGTTAATGAGCAAAACACATCCAGTACGTTACAAATGATTATTTTTCGTCTCATATGTTTTCTTGTATGATTCTATTGCAAAATTCCATCGGATTTTGATTGGATAACAACTACAACTATTTTATCCTTGGGTTTTGCTGGATAACAACTATACCGAACAGGTAGTGACGCAAGAGCTCACGTGATACTAGCAAGTGATGGGTTCTCGGTCTCCATAGTTTTATTTTACTTTTAGAGTTAACTAATACATTTCAGAGTTTAACCTTCAGTCTCAGCCACAATTTTGGATGAAGGTCGGAGAGCTGACGTGGCCTTACATTGCTGGACTTTACGGTCAAACATTCCACGAATTACACTTACAGGGTTATTTCTAAGCAACTTACAACGTTTCTAGAGATGATAAACCTTCAAATGTTCCAGATTCCACTTGAAAAATTTTGTTGTGGCCTAAATCTCTGAAATAAAAGAGTGGGATAGTTGATGATTGGCAAATCAAATGATGCATACTTCAAATCCCTTTATGTACGATTGGGGTTTTGTGTTTTTTATATTTGGCATGATTAAGTGTGCTGTGATACCTATCATATGGAAAATGAATCTTTTTGATAGCCGTTGGAACTTTCAAAGATCAAAGCAAACTCTGTTGACTTACATGTAGGTAAGAGATGACAGAGAGTAAAAGTCTCCGTTCGTCAGGCGTGTGATTTTGCTTCCAGCAAATAAACTGAAAGAGATTAAGAAATAAATTACGCCTGACTACACTCATGGTTTTAATGGGTAGGTATAGTCATGGAGAACGTTGGAAAGAAAATTTATGTTCACCATCTGAAGGAGCGATCCCTTTTCGTACAAATATTCTCTGGGGAAATGCCTCCTAACTATCTTACCAAAAGGAGTTTAAGGAAAGGAACTAGCGGTCCGGCCTTGGTATTGTTTATACAAGCCCCCACTTCAAACCAGCTTTAAGCTGAACTTAGCCAGCCTGTCTAAATATCACAAATAGATAAATACATAAATATATACATAAACAACAAGCTTTAAAGGAAGTCAGTGGAAAATAAAATAATCAACAAGATATTCTTCACCCTAAAAAAAGTTATTCGTATATTCATTTCAAATGGGTGTGAGCATAAAGTACACATGCACCAGAGGAGGTAAAAAAAAACTATCGGCTTAAGGGTTTACCATATTCTCTTAAAGAGCTTGACTAACGCGCACAGAGCGCTGTAGCTCCGCTATGTGTGCTCAAAAATTTCTTTTTTGTTCATTTGCCAAACATTGTGCGGCAAGCCCAATCCCTGAACTATTTAACTGGGATGGAGTTTTTAATTATTTTACCATGAATTATGTCCGGCCGTGATTGAACGCAATTAATTTACCAAAGGCTGGAAAGGTGACAATCGCTGCTTTTACCCAAATAAATTTGACAAAACAACTTAATCGTTGAAAGCACTCCTCCTAAAAAAAAAAATACTTATCGAATCACTTCACGTTTTACCTGACTGGAATTACTTTATGACGCTTGACATTTAAAAGTTTACCCAGGAATTCATTTGTCCCTCAAAT